CTGAAAGAAAAAAAGAGAGAGGGTTCATTCAGCTCATGGGTAGGAGACTTCCTTATTTTCTGTTAGATCTTTCTTCTGTTTTGGCTTGAAGAGCTGATTCCATTCAGTGAGCTTGTTCTGGGTGCAGGTGCCAAGAGCCAGTAGTATAGCCAGCCCTTCCATGACTCAGACCTGCACTACTTTTTTTTTTTTTTTCCTCTTTATGGATTTTTAGAGAGAGAGAGGAAGGGAGAAAGAAAGAGAGATAGAAACATTGATGAGAAAGAACACTGACTGGCTGCCCCCTGCACACCCCCCACCAGGGGATAAGACCCACAACCTGGGCATGTGCCCTGATTGGGAGTCAAACCGGCGACCTCTTGGTGCATGGGTTGACGCTCAGCCACTGAGCTACACCTGCCAGGCAGACTAGCACTACTTTGATGCCTCTCACCACAGGCTTTGTTTTATGCATTCCACATTCATACATGTGCCTGTAGACAGTTTCAAGAATTAAGGTATGTATTTTTATATAGACAGCATTGTATTATTTATGGATTATTTTAGTCAGGAATAGCTCTGAAGATATTTTAGTATTGTGTGGATTTTCCTTTCTCTAAGCCTGTTCTTTCCTTAGTGTCCACCTAGTAGAAGTGGGTGAAGGGTTCTTTTAAAATGCAGGGGCAATGGGAGGTCCCTGTGGAAGGGGCTAGTTTAAGGAGCCCCTGAGGCACTTTGGCAGGGTACCACACCATGGACTTACAGAGAAGTGAATTCCAGGGCAGGTCTGGGCTGTGGTGGGCTCTAGTTTTCATATCTTCTGGGCTGCAGGAGGCTGCCTTCCACTCTGACAGGGATACTTGACACCTCTCTAGGGGACATGCTTAGAGGCTGGGTCTTCCCTCTTCAATCATCAGATTGCCCAGGACCTAACTCTGATGCTGTCCCTGCTTATGGCTCAAAATCTGACCCAGTTTTTTACAGGGCTACTCTGACACCCTGTCCTTGTACTCTCTAGTTTCACTCCTGCCTCTAAGGGAACAGTGAGTTGCCTGCTCACTGTGGCCCCAGATGGGGCACTGACGCCACAAATTCTGTGTGAGAACTCTCTCAGGCCCATATGGGTAGGTATGAGACTACAACATTCCTATCTCATTGCCCTCATCCTTGCCAGTGAGTTCTTGGCTGGTTGGAGAAGTGCCACATGGTGTTAGTATTGGGTAGGAGAGCAGAGGGGCCATGGGGATGAGAAGCACAGGGAGAACTAGAAGGAAATGTGCTTCCAGCTGCCCTGTGAGGCTGCCGGAGTGTCCACTGTGATCCAATCTGATTCTGCAAGAGTGGAGGCTACACCTCTCTTCTGTTACCACCCCTAAAGGCCTTGGCTAGAATTCTGGATCCATGCCAAGATGGGACAGGCTATTCTGAGTCATCCCTAACATCCTTGATTCCTCCCATGCTGGAGACAGAACAGGCAAAACAGATGTTTGTGGAAAGCCATATGAGACAGATTAGACACTTCCTGCATCTGAGCTGGTGTGAATCCTGCAGGGCCAGGCCATTTGTTTGGGGGCTGAGAGGGCAAGAGACTGGCAGGGGCAGTGCATAGGCTGTGCATGGCTATAGCAGTTGCTTGTCCAGGGTCTGCAAGGAGCCCAGTTTGGAAGGAAAGCCCTGGGCTTGGAATCTGTCGAGAACTGAAGCTAACAATGAGAGCAATGGTAACTGCAGCACCACTAACCTGACGCGTACCCAGCACAGTGCTAGATCTCACTTAGTGAAAGAAATAAGAATAGCTAACACTTCTGAATTTTTTTCTTCCTATGTACATGCATTACATGTTTAACCTGATTAAACTTCATAAGCACTCTGTCTGAGGAATAGCTCTCATTATCACTGTTTTGTGAAAGAGGAACTTATCTTTTATTCATTACTCAGTTCCTGTTTTCCCTTATAGAACCCTGAATGTTTCATTTGGAACAGAAGCACCCAGAATAAAGACTACATTACCCAGCATCCCTTGCAGTTAGGTGTGATCATGTGACCACATTCTGGCCAATGGAAAGTGAGAAGCAATGCTGTGGGCATCCTCTTATCAAGGCAAGTCCTATTTCCCTCCTCCCACCCATCAGAACACAAGCAGAGTAGGGATGAGAGCTGCAACCCAGAAACAAAGGGCAAAAAGATGTGTTAGAGTACATGGGGCTAGTGACACTGAGAAGTTACTGGGCAGAGAAATAAGCTTGTCTCTTGTTTAAGCCCCTGTTATTGGGGTCTGGGTCTCTGCTGGCTGGCAGCTCTGCCAAGAGCACTCCATTTAGTGCCTCTGGATCCTGGTTGCAGGGGATGTATTCTTATGAGAGTACAGGGCCAGAACCCAGTAGACCACCACCTTTCTGAAATGGCCTGCTACCTTGCCCTGCTGACCCAAGACATCCCAGTCACGTGAAGCCCCTTGGGGAGTCTGTTCTTGGGTCTAATTGCTCTGACAGCCCAAGTGGCTTCCTGCTCTTGGCTTCATTTTCCATGTTTTGATCACGTAGGCCCTGTTTACACAATGGCTGATTCTGGGCCTGAGGAAGAAGCTGCCAGATGTGTCAGGGAAAGGGCAGGCCCCTGGTGTGAGCCACAGCTGGGGCAGAAGGCGAGGGACAGAAGAAAAATCAGGGTTGGAGCAAAAAGGATGGCCCATACCTCAGAGGGAAACTGAAGCTCAGAGGGCCCAAACCCTCTTAAGTGACCATTTTGGCTCAATCACGGCAGACTTTTTTTAAGAGCTTCAGATCTAAAATCACTACAAGTCCTACTTGTGAGGTGAGAATGTGTCCTATTGCCCCCAGAAAAGATGTGGACAGGGATATCCCTCTTAGATCAGGCTCAACCCTAGCACACCGGTCACCAGAACAAGTCCATTCAAAACCGAAGATGAAAAAGTCAGTCCCAAAAGATGACTTCCTATAGGATTCCATTTCTATGACATTCTTGAAATGACAAAAGTAGAGAAATGTAGAACAGAAACATCGTTGTCAGGGATGAAGAAGGAGGAAGTGAGTGTGCTACATAAGGGCAACATGAGGGATTTTGTGGTGATAGGATGTTCTGTGGTTTGACTGTACCGATGTCAATTTCCTGGTTGTGACATTGTCTTACAGTTTTGTAAAATGTCAGCATTGAGGAGAACTAGGTAAAGTGTTCATGGGATTCCTCTCTATTATTTCTCACAACTATATGTGAATCACTATTATATCAAAACAAAAAGTTTAGTTAAAAAACATATATATATAACAAAGACCTAGTCTTTGGTACTATCTCTTGCACCCCTTCCCATTTTTAAAAATTTTAAATTTATCACAACTGTTTTTTGCAGCTGAGAACGTGTCAACTGTGGATCCAGGTCCAAGTGACCACATCTTTGCTTCAGATGACTGACCTCTGGGGATGCCACCACTGGCTGAGACTTGAAGTCTTTTTTCTTGGAGGTAGGTCAACTGACAATATGAGAGAGATCAAAGGAGTGAGGAGCATCCAGCCCTGTGAGTTCCCAGCTGTGATCTGGGCAAGACTCTTCTCTCCTATACTCAACTTGCTGATTTGTGAAATGGGGGTGATAGTGGAAATGCCTCAGAGGACTCTAGGGAAATTCACTGAGATGATGCAGACACAGTGCCAAGTCCAGGGCCTGGCCCCATAGCAAAGTTGATGATGTGTGGAGTGCATCTGAATCTGACATTAGGAATAAGGGGAGAAAGGTCACCCCACACTGGAGGCCTTTCTGCCTCAGAGACTTTAAGCCACATAACCATAGATGAAGCCTTACTCCTGGGTCTCAGTTTTCCCACTGAGGGCACCTCAAAGGTTCCTGTTAGGTTTTAAGTTTCACAGGTTGTGAATATTTTCCTGGTCTCCTGTGTGTGTTTGAGCAATCTTCCAGTACCTTCATTGTTTTCGGGCGCTCTGAAAACTCAGCAAGGTTGAACTTGCCAGCCAGGAACATGCCAACTGGGGCTTCTGACTTTTTATTTTATGTTTTCTTTAACTTTTTTTTTTTTTTTTTTTTTTTGGTACGTGCCCCTAGCTGCTAGGGCCTAGCGGAAACTGAACCCAGGACTCTCTGGTCCGCAGGCCGACGCTCCAATTGCTGAGCCAAACTGGCCAGGGCAGGCTTCTGACTTTTGAACACTGTCTTGCTATGGGAAAAAAACTTTGCCCTAGAGCACAATAAATATACCGCTGGGTATATCTACCGCTGGGAGTTTTCTTAAAGTTGGTTGAGCAAAATCTAGGTACCACCCCTACAGTCAAATCCCTTGACCTATTTTTAAAAAATCTGTTCTGTGATGGAATGCAAAATTACATTTTTAATTAAAATAATATTTAAAATAACAAATACACTGATCCCTTAATTTTTTTTTTCTTCTTTTTGTAAGGGAGAGGGAGAGAGAGATAGAAACATCGATGAGAGAGAATATCGACTGGCCACCTCTTGCGTGCCCCCCACTGGGAACTGGGCCCACAACCTGGGCATATGCCCTGACCAGGAATCGAACGAGTGACATCTTGATGCATGGGTCGACGCTCAACCACTGAGCCACACTGGCTGGGCCAGCCCTTAATTCTTTTTTTTTTTTTTTTTTTTTGAGTGGGAGGGAGAGAGAGGAACAGAGAGAGAGAGAAACATCGACGTGAAAGGGACACATCGAGTGGCTGCCACCTGCACAACCGACCAGGGCCGGGGACAAACTGCAACCGAGGTACGCGCCCTTAGTGGGAACCGAACCCGGGTCTCTCAGACTGCAGGCCGACGCTCTAACCGCTGAGCCAAACCGGCCAGGGCGAGCCCTTAATTCTTTACCAGGTGCTGTGTTAAGCACTTTACTTTTACTTGCTCATTGAATCTTCACAGGAGCCCAGTGTAGGGACTACTGTTATTTTCACCATTTCACACATGAGAGGCTCAGAGAAGCTAGGTGACCCACCCGAGATTACACAGCAAGTAAGGGGTGGAGGTAGGATAAGAACCT